GCTGGGAAGGACTGCAGCACCCAAAGGCTCTGGGAAAAACCCTGTGGGCAGCACTGGGGTACTGATGTTGTACGTGAATTTTCAGCCGTGGCGAGGCTGGGGAAGGCAAGGGGTTAAGTGGGTTTCTTCCACACAGTAACACACATAAGTCTCTTTGCAGGCCAGTTACTCTACTGCTCCCTCAGGAATTAAAATAAATAAATAGAATACACACACCCTTCTTTTGGAGAATTCCTCTCGCTTCCCTCCCCACCTGCCCTGTGCCAGTGATATGGCAATTAGAGCCGTTCTCAGCTGCCATGGGATCCCTCTCAGCACACATCCAGTGCCACAGAGCAGACAGCTGAGGAGCTGGCACAGCGGGCCACAACATGGGAAGCTCTGTCCAGCTGCCTGGGCCTCTGGAGACTGTAAAAAAAGGGATAGTCTCTGGCCACGGCACAGCAGAGCTGGGATGGGACGTCAAGCTCAGCTGCCAAGCACTCCTGTCTTCTCCCAGGTACTGTTGCTTTGTGCACTCAGTGGTGGATAAAAAACCCACACTGCTTTTAATATGCCCTTGGCTCCAAGAGGTCAGAAAAAACCCTGAAAAGTCAAAATGGGAGAAAGGAGCTGCTCCAACCGCCAGCAGGTTGGGCTGGCACTGGGCTCGCTGTGTTACACCAGCCATTCACCTAAGAGCTTTGCCATTTTCAACTACCTATATTAATTCATATAAATCTCCCCCTTTCTCTGCTCAAACTGGGTTAAAAAAGCACCCTTAAAAAGACTGCTGCAGGCATAGTGACTTGTACATGACATTAGAGACGATGGAGGGAGGGGAATTCTCAGCAGAGAAACGGAGAGAAACACAAACCACCAACTCTCGGTTATTAATCCCTTAAATAATTCTGACAATGCTCCCCACCCTCCTGTCTGAAACCAAGCAGAAAATAGAGTTTTCTGACGCTCTGTCAAGAGGGTGGGGTGTGGGGAGGTGTGTCAGAGAGGGACAGGAGGATGTAGCAGTGGCTCTACCACTCTGTCCCCATGGCTGGTGACAGGGGACATCTCACTTTTGAGATTCACCAGCCATGGTGCTGGTGATGAATCAGGGGACAAATCTGCAACAGCATCCAGTGAGGACAGCCTGGATCCCCCCAGGGCTTTCCAAGAGTGATCCACACCAGCTCACTGGCAGGAGGAAGGGGACACCTTTACACTAAAAAATACTCTGAATATATGGAGTAATTACTCTGAATTTATCAAAGGCACCATCACTTTAACTCTGATTTAACTCCCACCTACAAGGCAGCTCTTGGCACAGCTGCTGGAGCGTGCCAGGTTCAAGGCCACCCTCCCCACCACCCACATCTCCTCCCAGGCACTTCAGACACACAAGATAAGCCACGAAGGAGCCCTGCACCAGCCACCCACGAGTCACACACCAGCAAACCTCAGAGGGTTCAGCTGAGAGGGAGGATTGATCCAGATGCCCCTCCTGTGCTCTGCTCAAGCTCTGAGGTGGGAGCAGCTCTGCCCAGGCTCTGGACCAGAACTGGAATGGAAAACACTACTTTAACCTCAGCATCTCCTCATCTTTCAGCTGACCAGTGAGCCACTTCCCTTTTTCATTTTTAGAACAGCAGCACTTCATACCCAGAGTCAGGGGAGGGAAGACTTCTATCTTGGCAAAAAAAAAAAAAAAAAAAAAAAGCCTTTTTCAAACACTACAAGAACTTCAACAGGAATTCAGGACAATTAAATCCAAGTGAGGAGAGCAGAGAGGAGCGGGAGGCTAATAAATGACACGCTCCACAGGTTTATGAATATTTGAACTATATTTCTTTAAAAAAAAATAGTACATTACTGCAAGTTATTTAAAATGAGTAACTCCCTTTAATGAACCTTGGTACGATCATGCTGACTAATAGAGTAATAAAGAGTTTAATCCATATTTATGTACATTTTATGTCATCACAGTTGGTGCCAATAAATTAGCAAGTCCAATAAGAGTTTGATTTTATACCATCACTGCTATTAAATGTGCAAAAACACACTGTACATGAGCACTAGCTTTTCATTTTATTTCATTTCTTTTTTCAGGAGATAGGCTGTGCTAGCAGAGACTGGGTACAGCAACCCTGCAGGGGATCCCCGTGCTTGTTCCTGCAAGATCAGACCCTATTTAGGGGTGAGGCAATAAAAACAGGGAGTTTATTCCTCGGAGCACTGCACACTGTGCTGCTTCTGCAGCCTGCAGCAGGGACACAGCCATGGAGAAACACTTCTGCAAGTGCCACTGGTGATTATGGAGAGCTCCGAGCCACTTTAAAGTGATCAAATTAAAAGAAATAAATGAATTAAGAGTCAACTGGTAGAAAACAATATAACTCTATTCTTTTAAGCTGTCTTAAAGGGGCACAGATAGAAACACAAGCATCAGCACCTCAGGTCGCTTTCAGAAACCTCTGTCATGAAACACAGCATGGCCCTTGTCACACCAGGATTGCTTAATTCACTGGACATTGGGAAAAAAAAGGGCTGTGAGCAATTTAAACTGGCCTTTTGACCCCCCTGGGTAACTGGGAAACACTGCAGATGAGATTACATGGAACATGACGTGTGTTTTTGGAAAAAGCCTGCACGCTCCAGTTACCCAACCTCCCACCAAGGCAGAGATGGAGCTCTTCAGCTCCACGGGGATTTTGGCTGGACAAGCCCACATGGTTCACCATCCCATTTCACCAGCTGTTATCCTGGTGACAGTTAAGGAATAACTTCCCAGGCTTAAAACTCAAGGAAGTAGCAAAACCAGAGATAAATCCTCACGCTCCTGGACTCGAGCAGCCCCAAAACACACTTGCTCTCCCCATCAACCCTACGGCAGCTCCTCCTTGCTGAAGCCCCACCTCAGAAGCCAAATGGAGTGATGGCTTACTCAGAATACTCAGATCACTCAGAATAACAGCTGGTCAAGGCAAGACTGAGGGTTCTGATTTTTCTTTCTCTTCTAAAGCACCAGTGGTTTTCTTACACCAAGAAACCCCGAAGATTCCAAAGGACAAGCCCTTTATGTAAGAGGTTGGCACCACAGAAACGCAAGTCCCCGCCCTCCTACTCAGTAATTACACTGCACCAAACCCAAAAACTGCTAGTAATTGCTGTCCCACTGCCCCTTGGGTTTGGAGGAGGGAAAATAACTATTTCAGTGGCATCCAGAAAGGAAACACCCAACACCACTCCAACCAAGGCTTCTCTGCAATTAAACGCTCGACTGTTACTGGGCTCTGCTCAGAAACGTCTCCTACACGGTGTAAGTGTCTTGTAACCCAAAAACACTGTTTTTCTAAGGAATTCATAGCTCCAGGAAGAATTTTTTGTGTGTGAAGTCTGTGTTTGGCCAGTGGGAAAGTGGATTAGAGACTCCCTCTGCTCTCGCTGTGACTCAAAATTGAAAGGAGCTTGGGTCAACAGCAGATTTTTCCCTGTTTATTTGCTTTGCCACTGTTGAACGCAGATCTGAGGATAATGTGGGAATGAAAGGTGGCAAAGACAATGGGAATGTTTTGACAGGCTTCCAGAGGGATTTAGGGTGGTGCAGACCCGAACAGCTGATACCTCCACCAAACTGATTTAAAAAAAAAGAGTTTTTTGTATACAAAGTCTGTGCTTCCCACATTTTACATGGTTGACTAAGGATGATGCACATGAAAATAAGCAAGATCCAGGCAATAAAGTACATTTGGATTTCTCGGAAGTTTATGACACGTTTCTTTCCCAAGTCTCATAAAAAAAACTAAACTGTCATGAGGTGAGAGGGAATGGCAAATCACCTCCCTTTCCCAAGTAACAAACCTGAACCTTCCCCACAAAAAAGCGAACAGGAGGAGGGAGTAGCTGTTCCCTAACCACACCAGAAAGGAAACCAAACTGTGCTCATCAGCTGACATGTTCCAGCAGTGTTTAACACCAGGCTCTATTAACAGGCATCACAGGCAATTTGAAACAGCACAAAGCAAGAGACAATGTGACAATAAAGCAGCATTTTAATTAGCAGCAGTCCTTTCCCTGGCCCAAAAGGTTCCTTCTGTGCATTCATATTCCCAGAACAACAAAAGCCTTCTTGTATTTCATAAATCAAAAAAACTCATAAAACAAGGCCCTGCAATTGCACATTCCAGATAATGGTCCAGAAATAAATTAGGCAATAAATATCAAATAATATATCCCCATCAGCAGTGAAAATCTACTCTTTGGATAATCAGAAGGGAAGATGCCTTCCAGCAGCTTATGCCTGGTAACTCGAAACAGGTAAAACAATAGAGAACTTTAATAAATCTTTTAACACCTTTTCTGCTGAAAAATATAGCAATTGTCCTGTGTAATAGCTTCCCTGAGCCCAGTATCCATCAGCCCTGATGCAGTTGGTGTCAAAGCCAAGGAATCAGAACAAGAGCCACTTGTCAAAATCAGGCAGAGCTTTCCTCCCTTGCAGCTGGGTCTTGTTCAGAATCTGGTGCCAGCCATCACTTACAGCAAAACACATTTTTGAGAAACTCAGGGCACTCATTTCACCCTGGCATCAAACCCCCTGACCCCCACAGACACTCACTGGCCACATGACAAAATTGATGGTGACTTCAGCAAAGCTATTTTGCTGTGCAGAGGTGGCAGCAGCTGGGGAAGGACTGTGAGAGGTCTGGACCCTGGGAAAGGTCTAATTCCTCCTCCCCAAAAAAAGACATTTTTCATGTACTTTAGAGTCTGATCCCAGAGACACTGTAATCTAAAGCAGAACGCTTGAAGGTTTGATCTCCCTTCACTGAGGACACAGCAGAATCCACTCCTAAATACACCACGAGCAGGGGGAACAGGTGCTCAATCCTTGGGTTAAGGGTGCAGAAGCTTCTCAGAAAACCACAAAACCTTCATATTTTCATCCAAAAGCAGCAGCACAGGCCCAGAGGACCAGCAGTGCCAGAAGCATCACTTCCCAGGAGCTCAGGAGTAACTCTTACCTTTCCGAAATCCCGCACATCGAAGAGGTCGAAGGGATCAAACAAATCGCTGTTCCTTAACCCAAATTTGTCGTGACACACCTTCAGGAAGGTTCGGATGTTCTTCAGACAGAGAAACTGGGGAAAACAAAAGAGAAAAGGGGGGGGGGGGAACGTGAGCAGGACACAGGCACAAATTGCAACTGATATTTACTGAGTTAAATTCACGTGCAAGACAAGTTAACAGGGACTTAGAAACTTGCACTGGAAAGCCAGGCACGAGTTTATTTGTTGTTGCTGAAGATGTCAGACTCAGGGTGCCCTGTGAGGGCTCCTGTGTTCTCAGCTGCACAGCAGAAACAAAACACCCTTTTGAAAAACAAATTTCTCACAAGGTAACATCGCAGAAGGGCTGGAGAACTCAGGCCAGGACACTTCCCTTTAAAGGCTGAAGAAAAATATAAATTACAGTTGATGTTCTACAGAAGGCCAGTGTTGAACTTTTAACCACTTCCAGCATGATTGCGTCTGGTTCCCTACAGAAGGGGCACATGTTACAGCCTGGAGAAGAGAAGGCTCTGAGGAGACCTTAAGAGCCCCTTCCAGTTCCTAAAGGGGCCAGAGAGGGACTTTGGACAAGGGGGAATGGCTTCACACTGCCAGGTGGCAGGGTTGGATAGGATATTGGGAAGGAAATCTTCCCTGTGAGGGTGAGGCTCTGGCACAGGTTGCCCAGAGAAGCTGTGGCTGCCCCATCCCTGGAAGTGTTCCAAGACAGGTTGGACCTGGTTTAGTGGGGAAGGGTCCCTGCCCATAGCAGGGGCTGGAATTGGATTATCTATAAGGTCCCTTCCAACTCCAACCATTCCCTGATTCTATGACTCTGCTACAACACCCCTTGTGTGTAGTGTTGTACATCCACACACATGCACACACACATCCCTAAAAGAGACTGGGACATTGAAAATCTGTTTTTTTGCTTTGGGGTATGAAACAACTGACAATTTATTCGAGTACCATTTGCTCCCTGACCCTCACACCTCCCAGATGCTGAAGGTACCATAAACACCAACAGACTGACAAAAAACACAAACCAGCCACATCCAGCCCATGCCAGTCCTGAGGCTCAGCCATGGGAGCTGCTCCTGACCCAACCCCGATCCTGTCCCCAAGACCAGAGACTGTTTCCACAAAGCTTTGCTCATCTTTAACCTTGGCCCATTTGAAGAAGCAGAAGCCTCAGCCCTCCAGGGACCACCCTTGATTATTCAGGGAGGTCAACTGGCAGAGCAACGTTATCCTTCTCTTTCAAGAAAATCCTGTCTTTGGCTACAGCAATAATTGGTTGTTTATTTGGGAGCATCAGGGATTCTGAGGTCTGGGGACTCCAGTCTCGCTCCAGTGGTGCTGCCTGGCAGCAGGGGCTAAGAGGAAAATAATAAAAATCTGCTTCATTTCTGCAGCTGCATCACCTCCATCCTTCATCAGGATGGGCTGACTGCTGAGCCAGCCAATTAACTTCCCTTCTTTCTGCAGCCTCGTTACAAAATACCTTCAATTCACTGCTGTATTTTGAAGCAACTCTTTTTTTTTTTCCCCCCCCTCAGCAAATTCCTCACAAACACCTAACAAACACGTGAGAATCCCAAGTAAATCAATCCATTAAAGGGGTGAATCACCCCCACGTGATAAGCTGCCTTTGGGTGGGTTCGCCCAGCCTGGTTTTGTCACATGGCACCATCTCTGCTCCCCAAGCTGTCATCAAATACACTCCACGTAAAGACACTGCTTGCAAACTTCACCCAGAGTTCAAAGCAAAATAAAAACAGCTTAATTTTCTTTTAATTAAACGAATCAAAGCAGAGTCTTTGGGGCCATTGTATCTCCACAGACACGACCAGAGTGCAGCTTGTTATCACCGCATTTGGGATTAGAGATGGGTTTTCCAGAGGTGGATTAGCAAGACCACCTCATTAACAACAGGCTGATTCACCTACACAAAGAACGGAATAACCTTTTACCCTTCTCCCCCATGCCAGCCCCTCGACATGGGGCTGCTAAGTGACAGCAAAGCTCCCCCAGCACAGGGGGTGGCACAGGACAGTCCCATCACATCAGAGTTTTCTCATTAGACAAGCACGTGCCAGAGGCAGAAATTGAAAACAAATCTGGTTTTCTAGGGCATTCCTCTATCTCACATAAACACTGCAGTAAATATAAGTGTCTAGACAGAGGTTTTTTTCGGAATTGCTTTACAACCTCTCCTGCTGACGTGGGTTATTTCATAACTTTATCTTCTGGGTCTCTGCAAGAATTTACACCCCAGGCAAACTGGCTGCTTGCGGCAGGGCCGTGTGCGCTGCTGCACTGCAGTCTCATTGATTTCAAATTTCTAGGCATGTGTTTATTTTAAATCCTTTTAAGCCTCCAATTTTGAAAGTTAATGACACAGGTTATAGCCACAATTACACACAGCAAGATGCAAACTTCCTTTGCAGAACCGCCCTGCCCTTCTGCAGCATTCCCTCCTCGTCTCCCGCTCATCCCAGGCTGGGCAGCACCAAAACACAGACTTGTGGAATGACAGGATGGTTTGGGTTGGAAGGGACATTAAGGATCATCCAGTTCCACCCCCTTGCCATAGGCAAGGACACCTTCCACCATCCCAGGTTGCTCCAAGCCGCATCCAACCTGGCCTTGAACACTTCCAGAGATGAGGCAGCCACAGCTTCTCTGGGCAACCTGTGCTGGTGAAGGAACTGAAGGCCAAAGCTGATTTTGCTCATCCAATTCAGCTCTGGAAACCACCTCATCACCAGCTGCTAAACGAGTACAGTGTACCTGCTGCAGCGCCAGTGCCCTCCTGCAGCTCCAGGTGACATCCAAGAGCCACCACACAGCCAGCCAGGCGCTGAGTGTGGGCAGAGGACAAGCATCGAGGAAGGAACCATAATCTATTTAAAGAGTTGTTGAAAAAGGCCTGATGTAAAACACAATAAACCAAGGCAAGAAACCACAGTCCCCCTCCACGAGCAAGGAGCTGGCAACAGAGCAAGGCCACCACACTGATCACAACAAAAGCCTCCGCTCAGAATGACAACTGCAGGTGGGTTTCAACCCCACCCGAAGTTCAGGTGGGCACACTCAGCGTGGGTGTTGGTGGCACAATTTCTTGCGCTATTTCTCCCTCGCCAATCTCCAAAGTGTTATATCACACCTTTTTTTTTTTTTTCTGGCATTTCGAGGTCAGTTTGCTGTTGATGGAGGATCACGAATTCTTGGCTCGATACTGTTACTCAACGGCCACATGTTAAAATTAGCTACAATTTAATATGGGCTGTGCCGAGGCCATTTTATTCACCAGTCAATCACACCTTTGGACAAGTAGACATCTTGCAGGAGAAAAAGAGAGAGAGAGAAATCAATGTTCTCCATGGGGCTCATTCAGCACCTGTCAGGCCCAAAAATCAATGGTGTCATTTATACACTTCGAGCGAGAGTGTCACTGAGGCAGGATCTGAGGCAGGATCCCTTGGTGCAAGGGACGTCCCAGCCCTGCCATAACCCTCCTCCACATCCAAAACAGCCTTGGAACCCACCAGCCGTGGCTTCTGGGGACTGACACCACCAGCAATCACGATGCTCATAGAAACAGACCCGAGACTATGGCAACTTCCATGGATACCAGCACCTCCCACTGCACCGCCAGCCAGGCTCCGAAAGCAGCCATGGCACAGGTCCTTGGCACAGGCAGAGCATCCTGGGCACTGCAAAGCCCAGAGAGGGAAGTTATCCAAGCCAGAGCAAGGAGGCAATGGGGGCAGGGATGGGACTACCACACACAACAAGAAACCCATCTGGTTAAACAAAATACCTTGAAGGCTGACAAGAGATGAGAAAAGTGTGGTCAGTTCTGACCTAATCCTCGGAGGGTTTTAAAAAAACAGCATTAGAGAGAGGCAGCAGTGGAGGCAGAAGGGGCCCATCACCTGCACTCACTCAGTTTCAGAACATTCACTTATTTTTAACCACTCTGCAATGTCATGAAGTGAATAAACTGCTAAAAACTGCTCTCAGCCACTGGTCCCACTGGGAGCCCACAGTCACCCTCCTGTACACGGGGAGGCCAACAACCCCAATGCCTGGGACACACTGGGAGCTTCTCAGCAGCTTCTGGGATGTCCTTTTTTAAAGAGGGTTTTTATGATCCTATTTCTTTTACTGGATTCAGTAAGTTTAGAGACACACAAAGGGTCTTGCTGCTGAGTTTTCATGCCACTCAAACTTATCCTGCAAACTCAGAAATGGAGATGCCTTCAGTGGAGATCAAAAAAGGGGTAGTTTGGTATTTGAGATAACTCCAGATACTCCAGCACTCGGAATAAATCCACTTGCACACCAGGAGCTTAGCGAGGACATGCCCAGCCATCCCACAGCAGCTGGGCATCCCAAAGCTCTGCTGCTGCACCCCAGGGCAGGAAGGGCAGGTCAGATGTTTCTGTAGATGGAAACTCCAGCTCTGGGGGTGGGAGGGGAGCCCAGGGGAGGGTGCAGGGCAGCTCAGCACCTCGCTCCTCCCCACGCCCCCGCGTTAGCCACCACCCCTCCCTGCGGTCCCCGTATGACTGGGCACCCCTGGCACCTGCACTGACTAGACAGCAGCCATTTCCAATGCAAATTCACCAGAAAAGAGCCACCTACTCGAGCACCTCGGGGTTGGGTTGGAAACAGTCCCCCCTCAGCCTCAGCAGAGATGATGGCAGGCTTGAAGGCCACATGTGCTCCTGACTCCCACCAAAGGGGCTTTGTTAAAGGAAAACCAGAATCATTTAGGTTGGAAAAGACTTCCAAGATCGAGTCACACCTTTAACTCAGCACTTCCAAGCCCAACACTAAACCATGTCCCTTAAGTGCCACATCTACACCACGTTAAATCCCACCAGGGATGGGGACTCCACTTTCCTGAGCAGCCTGTTGATGGCAGAGAGACAGACTAAAAGCTGGAAGAATGCAGCAGCATTTGCTCAACAACCAAGCTGGGATCCCAGGTGGGATCTGGAGGACATTCACATGAGCAGAGCAGTCCCTGCTCCCTGCAGCTGGGATGGCACAAGGGAGGGAGGTGCAAGGCTTGGGAG